TGTGTGATTTTTGTTTTTGTATTTTGGTGGTCAAGTTAATCTTGATGTATAGTATTTGTCCATTATATATAGATGAAAAATCAGTCTAATATATATATATATATATATATATATATATACTTAATACACTAAAGAGTTTTGTCTTCTGATTATTCTTGAATGAGACCCTCTTGAAAAAGAAAATGCAATAACTTTTTGTTATTATATGACACATTTTCTTTCAGTAGACGATAAATCCTTCAGATGCAATGACCTTGTGTTAAACAAATTTTGCATAACCGTCTGGTATCTAAAAATGCATTGGACGAAGAACATCATTTTTGAGAAATGGTTCAAATTCCTTCTTACACACACACACACATATTCAACCCCCCCCCCCTTCTATGTGTTTCCGCTAACTTCAACTAATTCATGCACTTTGTGTTTTGCATCTTTGGATGTCCTATTAGCATGCTCCAGTGCTATTTTTGGGCCTTCAGGAGCTTCTTCTTCATGTTGAAAGTTGATTTCTTTGTTTTTTTTGCTCCCGAACAAAATTAGGTGTCTACATATCTTTATGCATGTTTATATGTTTGTGCTTTGTGCAAGTGACTATTTTTTATCCTAATTGACTTGAGAGTAGTATGATGATGATTCAATATAACTTGGGAAGTTTTCTAGATGAAGAAATCAAATTTTGAGATATTAGTCAAAATAATCGATTATTCACCTGTTTTCACTAAACTAAAAAACATTATTGTAATAATCGATTATCTGTAGAAATAATCGATTATTCTAGAAAGCACTCTATGGAATAGTCGATTATCCTGAGAAATAATCGATTAAATTGTTCTTGAGTGATTTTCATAATTATGAAGAACAAAATAATCCATTATTCTTATAAATAATCGATTATCTAAGATTAAAAACTATAAAAAATAGTTTTCTCATTCAGAAACTAATGCAAGTGATATTTTGACTGAACTTTGTGAAAATTTGAATCTCTGTGATTTTTTTGAAGTGTTTTCTTTGTGAAACCAAGAAGTAAAAAAATTTTGTGAAATGTTTTGAAGATCTCATCATCATCTTCACAATCTTGAAGAATAGGATAAAGATTTGTCTTGAGTTCAATTTCTGATTTGTTCAGCATACAGGTGAATTCGTTCCTTACTTTTTAGGTGTTAAAGTATGGTAAATCTTAAGTAGGTTTCTCAAGTATGGTAAATCTTGAGTAGGTTTCTCAAGTGTGATAACTCTTGTAGTGGGTGACTGCAAGAAGTGTTTTCTTGGGTTCAAGAAAAGTAGTATCTTGTATGTAGAAGTAGGTTGCACGTGTGTTGTGTGATTGTAAACCTTTTTACATAAAGATAGTGGACAAATCTTGATCAGGTTTTGATGAAGGACTGGATGTAGGCCACATGTGGAGTGGCTGAACCAGGATAAATCTCCTTGCACTCTTTCTTATCCTTACTCTTTTTTACTTGTGTAATCTTTGAGGGATCTCTTAATTAAAACTGATTGCATATGTTCTATATTTTTGTATGAATAATGTATTAATTGAAATGTAATATATGCATTGTTCAATGTTAAGATTCTAAAGATTAAAGAAAGACTAAAAGAGCATATAAGAGTATATCTCATAGATCAAGAACTCAATAAACTTCAATTGGAAAGTACCTTTAGAAAAGTTTTTTCAAATAAAGATCTAGAACTCTGATTAAATTTTGAAAAATCCAATTCACCCCCTCTCTTGGAATTAAGCCATCTTTTTTTTCTGACACTTATTACTTAGTCCACTTTCTCTTAGTGTATATTTTTCCTCGTAAATATTTTTCTTTATTTTTGACCATGTATTTTGGTCAAGTAGTATAGAAATTTTTTCCTTGTATTTGTTTTATTTTAGGGGTATAAATAGTAATTTAGGAGGGCTGCAACTAGTAAAGATCATTTTGGACTTACTAGACTTGGATGGGCCAAAAAATATTTTGCCTTGGCCCATGCTTGGACTTACACTTGCTTATGCAAGTGTTTTAGATGTCCAAGATATATAAGGGGAGAACATGTTCCTAGTTCATCCAAGTGGCCTATATGTCATATGACCTTGTCTAGTCAGACCAAACAACCATGTCACATGGCAAGCTATAATTGACTCTTTTAGATCTAGGATGGTCACATAAGTCACACTTTTCTTACCTTACCACATGGAAAGCTCTCACTAGCCATCCTAGATCTAAGTTAATGACATGTGGAGCTTGGTTGGTTGAATTTAACTAGGTTAGTTTAGAGTAAGTAGTTTGAGTTCAAGTTAACCTAACTTAGGTTATCTTAACCTAAGTTATCTTAGCTTACACCACAAGCTACCAACTCCTATATATAGCTTTCTTCTTGTAATAACTCATCACTTTTGATGATTATAAGAGATATAATATTGAGTTTTCTCTCTTCCGAAAGTCTTAGTTTTCTTCCTTGGAAAAATCTCTTCTTAAAAACTTTTATCAAGGAATTCCTCCTTAAGACAAATAAAGCTAGTTGAAGTGGTACACCAATCACCTTTGACCTAGTTTAATCATAGACTCACACTATACCTAAACAAAGTATATATGCATGAATCACATCACAACATTACAATATGCAATAATCCACTTCCTCATTTTCCAATCCACAACATTAGACTTATCCACTATATCTCATCATAATACTTGCGTTAAATTCATAACATCATACCTCAAGACAACTTCTCATAAAACATCGTTAATACATACACATCGGAATACATCATTCAATTAGCTTCTTAATATTACTAGCTCATTATTTTTATTCTCTTAGTTCTCAGTCTTAATCCCTTATCTCAAGTTCTTAATTATCTATTTATTCATACAATTAACATTGTTTGGAAAAATGGCATGGTGCCTGATAAGGTCGAACTTGCGCTTGGTGTAAAGAGGTCAGGGACCTCTTTGTCTCAATCTCACCCAACATGGCTACACCCACACTCGACATCAAGGAGTTAGCGGGACCCCGTTGGAACCCTCTTGTTTGGAATGATCTAGGCCATACCTGGAGTGCTACTCCTCCAAAAATCGATGCAAAATGGAGTTAGGCACCAATCTTCATGCTCGGTGTAAAGAGGTTTGGAACCTTTTTGTAGTACCGTGTCCGACATGACCCTTCTCATGCCCGACATGGTCACAAACTTTGTACTTCATAGAGTCGTGATATGCATAATTCATTTAACACTATTTCACTCACACACTTCCATTTACTTCAATTCATAATTCAATCAGTCAAATTAGTTGTTCATCGATCATTCATATATCAACTTATCATCATCAACTCATACAAACATCATTTAATCAAATCAAGAACCCCAATTTATACACAAATTACCCTAACCCTTCACCACTTCAATTCATCACCAATATATTAATCCAACATGAATCACCAAAAAACTTCATAGAATATAACATGAATGAGTTACTAATTCATTCATAAGCATTTACACAGATTAAATTCGTCAACCTAAGAAGCTTAAGGATCGCTTCTATACCTCTATCTCTCATATATGCCTATGGATGTGACAATCTCACTCCCCATATATTTGGATTGATGATCTCACGATTTAACACATTTCCCATAACTTTGATCGCTATTTCATACTCCCTCTAGTGTTCTTCTCTAAGTTCCCTTATATGAGTGCTTTAGGTTTTCAGCTAAAAGATGTGTACCTCTATTTGTTTCTCTTAATAAGCCTTCTAGTTGGGGTTAGAGTTTAACTCAATCCTCTATAATTTCTCACTACACTTATTTTATTTATTAATATATTTCTCTGTACTATAACTTCATTAATCTAAAATATTTATTCATTTATTTAAAAGCTACTCCTATATTACTACCATTAAAAGCTACAAGAAAGCTAAAAAAAGATAAGGATAACATTAATATTATTTATTGATAATAACCTTTAAAGAGAGATACACTTATATAACCCTAGGAAGTATCAATCAATGGATAGTATTTATCCATGTGTATCAACATCTAATTATTTTAAGAGATAAAAATAAATATTTAATTGCATTCAAACAATACCTTTTTCTGTCCCTTTTTGAATATATGTTCTCATTAGTGCAACATCATGTGAAAGATCATACTTAACAAAGAAAGTGGGTGTCAAAGGTATTAAAAAATCACATTTGACACTCAAACTATGACAGGTATAGAAAAATTAGAATCACTTAACATAGAAAAGTCATAATCTTGTGTTAGATGTTTGATAGACGTAAAAAGTTTGGACTTTTTATATTGTCTATCTCTATATCAAGTCTAGAATCGCTATAGAAAGTGTAATTTGACCGACATTAAATGTCTTCTCCATACAAGTGACTTGTTGCTAATAATTTTTTTTTAAAATGTGTTGATACTTATAAGAACTTTTTGCACAATATACTTTTCTAGTTTTCATTGAATTAAAAAATTCGAAAACATTGAGTTTCATTACATAGCTCGGATCCTTGAACAACTCCTCAGTCCTTACTCTTCGGAGACAAACACAAACTTTATTATTCATGTAGAAATCATGACTAAAAGTATATTTAATTATCAATTACACAATATACAAGACAACATCTTGTGCAAGAACGTTTTGGATTGTGGTGCCGAATGCGGTCTAGCACAGTGAACAATTTCAGATCCATCAATTCTACTTTGCTTTGCTTTCTCACACTCATTCAAGAATGTTCCAAATGCACCTTCACAGTATTTAACTGCCTCTGAAACTTTTAAGTTCTCTGTTAGCTTGTTGCAGTATATACTCTTACTATGATCCCCATTTAGAGTTGCTGCCATATATATCAAATCTTCCTGAAATTCACTCAATGGTGCCTCTTCTACAGCACCAACCTCTCGCAATTTCACGGGCTCAGGCAATTTCTCTGGAAATTCATAATAGAAATAATCAAAAGGAAATATTTATGCAATATTTAGGTAAGTAATTAATATATGTAATAGCTAGCTAGAGACAGATATAAATCATATTACACCAGAACTATATATTTCCACCCTTTCTTCGTGAAAGTTTGAAACCAAGAAATAAATAAAACTCAAAAGTGAAATACTTATAATTATTGATAATAAAAAAGCATCTTAAGATACCTGGACAATCAATTCGTGGGGTAGTTAGAGATAAGAGTTCCTCGAGTGTTCCAGCCCATTCATCACGCTTTGTCAAAAAGTGAGGCAGGTTGAATATTTTCTTAACGGTCGCTGGTATAGACGAATGTTCATACTGTGATGTTGGGAATGGCCCTGAAGGTTCATGCAACACTATATACAATACAACATAGTTACTTTTTTTGTTTTTTTCAGAAGAACAACATATAGTTACTTATTACACCATCAGTTCATGTTTTTACTTTAAAAATTTAGACTTAAATATATATTTTTTATTAATATACAATAAATAAATTTTGAGTTTAGATCGAATTGTATTTTCTTAAAGAGTGAATATCGAAGTTAATTCAAAGAAGTTGATTAAGTTAATTATCCATTCTCATTTTGAATATTTTACTTGTTATTGTACAAAATTAACAAAAAGGAAAGGAAAAGTATTTTAGTTTACTACTCCCTCTATTTTTTTTTTTTCATTGTCTTTAAAGTTATGTACAAGAATTACGACAATTATTAATATTTTAGTTTTTAAAGTATTTATTACATATTTTCCTGTTATACCTTTTAGGTGGTTGGAGAATAAATAATACTTTAGAAAACGAATAGACACATTAGACAGTAAACATACATTAATTATCAAGGGTAAAAAAAAAAAAAAAAGTTAATAAGTTATTAATTTTAGAAAAGTAACAATAAAAAAAATAACAAAATCTGACAAAATAACTATTAAAAAAAACAGAGAGAAGAATATTATATAACATGTTTAGATACAACTTAGAAATTTTTTTTAGAGTTTTCTACCAAAAATAAAAAGTATTTTTCGATAAAAGGTTCTTAAAAATCTTATATATACTTATATCTAAGCATGCTCAAGTATATTAAAAAAAAAATCACTCACTCAATATGTGTTCTCTCAATCATATATATAATTAATATGTTTTTTCTTATAACTAAGAGAAACAAACTCTCACCAAATCATCCATTTTAGAGATAAACTAATATTTGCAATTCTAATTTTATAGACAAACAAAGATCAGACATGAGTAATTATTAAAGAATATAAATATCAAATTATTTGGATTAAACCTTTTGTACTTAATTAGTATTTTCATATGTAATATGCTTTTCTTAATGTAGTAGTATATTCTTTTATGGGATCAAAAAAATTAATTTTCCCTTATCTTGACATACATTTTGATTTTGAGACATCATCCAAATATGCATATATTCACCATATACCTTTTCCTGGCTCAATCCATGGAGAAACAATGATAGTAGGAACCCTTACACCAAGTCTATCAAACTGAAACTTCATTGGTTCAGGACCTGCAATGTCATCTGGGCGTGGCACTCCAACCACTGGAGTTGGCACGTGATCATAAAAGCCACCATGTTCATCGTACGTGATCACAAACAAGATTTCATTCCACTGTGGACTACCTCTTAGTGCCTCGTACACTTCCTTCACAAATCTTTGTCCCTCGGAAACATCATGAGATGGATGATCATCATTCGCGGGCAGTGACAACAAGTCAAAGTATCTTTGTTCAATCACCACGTAGTTTGGCAATTTCCCTTCTTCGCAATGCTTCTTGAACTTTAAATCGAATGGTAGGAAGTTGTCTGCGTATTTCAGTTTCCTGAGATTTCTGAATTGTTCGTGACAAGATTAATTTGTTAACAGAATATTTACGAGGGAAAAAAAAAACATAAAAGCTATATAGTAATCACAATTTTTTTAGTGCCACAGAGCACAAAATAATAAATACTTTTTAAACAAAAGAAATCCATGTTAATCATCTTTTCTTTCTTCCCTATTTTATTTTCCCTCCAAACAAATCACTAGACTATCGATTAGAGACTCGTCTTTCAATGTATCGAGATTCATAAAAGGAATTGATTAACGTATATATTATTTTATACACACATATTTAAAAATTAAAATTTTAGCCACATATGCTTAAAAGACACGTATATTGATAATTGAAATGATTTATCTTTAGCTACTTAAGATTCTGATGGAGACAAGATTATCTTAAAGTGATTAATTTATTCAATGACTATTTGGAAAGAAACATAAAAGTTATTTTAAGTGCAATTGTGAAGCATTGGGTGTTAATTAATTTACATTATATCTATCAATAATAAGTGAAACGCCAGTTTTGTCAACATAAAAGGAGTACATTGGGAATATATAGACATTTTGGAATCTACATAATGAACATGTGTGAGTCATGGTCATGTCTGTGTTTCATTCAAATATGAGTTGTTTTATTTTATAAGAATTGGATCCAAAATATTGTTTTGTATATGATAGCCTCAGCGAATTAATTCTCAAACATCCATCCGTTGTTGTACCCATCACTCTTTCATAAATGCGTAAGAGTTTAACTATACGCACACACAAAAAAAAGGAAAATGCTAATGTACTGTCAATGATTTTCAATGTAAGTTATTAATTAACAATTATTTGCTTTTCAATTTTTAATCAGCATGCTTCGTGTACATATTAGTAGGATTTGACAAAGGAATATTTAAGAAAGCATACACCGAAGAAATGTTTAAATTATAAAATACACTACTAAATAATTTAATTTTTCAATTTTATTCATAGTTAATTAAATTTTAAATATTTCTTATTTTTAATTAAAAAATTACATACACAATATATACAACTAAATATTCTAACTCTTAAAAAGAAAATAGATCCGCTAAAAAAATTGACAGAGAAGATACTGCAGGATTTTTCAGTAATGTAGATAAATAAAAGATAAAGAGAAAAATTAGGTACAAATTAAAAACAATTTTTTGAGAATTTTTCTATTAAAAATTAAAATTATTTTTCAATCAAGCAATTTTTTAAAATATTTTTTAGTTCATATTCAAACACATTTTAAAAAAAGAGTAAAAAATGTAAGTGAAGTGTCTTTACCTATAAAAAAGAGTTGATGGCGGGTACTGATAATATATTCCAAAACTAAACCCATTTTCGTCCAAAGAATCGAATATAGTCTTCTGCGGCAAACCACCAATTAGTTTCTTTGTATCTTGAGTCGTCAACCCATACGACGTCGCAGAGTGCACGTAAAGCCGGTTCGGTTGGGTCGGACCGGGAACCGACGCGAACCACCGATCACAAACCGCAAACTCCTTAACTAACTCCCTAAAAACCGGTAACACCTCCGGTTTGTACCCGTTCATCACCGTCTCCGCCGTCGACCCTTTCACTTGCTTCGCCGAGTTTTGCGCGAAGCCTTGCATGCTGGGCGGCAAATTCTTTGCCGCCGAGGCTTCGCTCCAAGGCTCGCCGAAAACTTGTTCATAGACATCCTCCACCGTGTGACCCGGATCCGGTTCAACAAAACCGGACTGGTCGTTGAAATGAACCCGGTTCGAGTTCGGGTCCGATGTGGAAACCGGGTTCGACTCTGAACCGGTGACCCCGTCGATTTCCGGGTTAAGGGACTTCATCCAACCTAACATGTGGTCGAAGGAGCGGTTTTCTTGAACCAAAACGACGATCGTTTTGATGGGGTAAGAACCGGGACTTGAAGACATGTTGATTATACGTCTCGTGTTGAATTGTTGGTCGATTCTGAAATGGGGTGGGAAATTGGGAATGGAAGCTTAGAAATGAGAGTGGGTGGAAATAATATGTGTGATTACATGATGAGAGTGGTTAATAATGAGATTGGAAAGATAATGTTGATGATTTTTCAGATCCTTGAATAATGGTTTTGTTGGAGCTTTTAGGCACATGGTTTAGCTAGCTACCACTATAGAAAAATTTGGTAAAGATGCCTTTGTCGCATATTTTACATGTTTTAGTGTGTGGTATGGTGGGCTCAAATTGGGTAATTATTGATATGGTATTTACATTTTTAGTGAGATATGATATGAAAGCATAGTTTTAAAAACCGGACCGGTCATCGAACCGGTTAAGGTACTGGGTCAGTGGGTCAAAGGTTGAATCGGTGGGTCACTAGTTGAACCGCATGACTCGATTTTTATTTATTTTTATTAAAAAGTATTCATACTAAATATATTTTATACTTATAAATTTTAATAAATTCATATCTTATTTTAAATTTCAATTTTTCTATCTTATTTAAATTTATTTTTATTTTTATTTTGTAAAAAAATACATAAAAAAATTACATGTTAAACGGTATATTAATACAAATTAAAAATATAAATAATATGTACATATATAATATACTTGCAATTAATATCAGAAAATAATATATGTAATATTTACATAGATATTACATTATTAAATATATAATTTAAAATTAATAATATACTATAAAAGTTATTTAAGTTGTATATATTGCAAACAAATATATTAGAACAAGTAGTCATTGTTATATTTAATAAGACTCCTTGCTTTTTCATTAAGAGATTCAATTTTCATTATTATTTTTGTGATTTATGGTCCCTTAAAA